GTGTATACATATATATGCACGTACAGCAATACTATTGTATTCACCCTCGCTCCTGTTTTTAACCTTGTGGGACCCTATTCAACATAAGTAATTAAGGTGACTGACTGACAGGTGGCATTAGGTATGAGTGAGGAGTTCACTCACCCTTCTCGTCCACCCTTAACACACTCTTAAAACCCAACCCGGATATAAACACGTGTGCGCATTCATCACTTCATCTTAATCACGTGATCCTGAAAGACCAATTTGGTGAGGTGATGTCTCTTATGCTCGCTTCCTGTCTCCTCGTTTTTAGTTATCTTTGTGTGTCTGTCTCTCTTTCTTCTCTTTTTTGTGTTTATGTGTTGTGTTTTATTTCCTCCTCCCTTTGTCTGTCTGTCTGTGGGTTTGTCTGTTTGTCTGTCTCTCTCATTCTCTCTTCCTCTCTCTCTCTCTCCCTCTCTCTCACTCTCTCTCTCTGTCTCTGTATCTGTCTGTTTCTGTCTGTCTGTCCGTCTGTCTGTCTGTCTGTCTGTCTGTCTCTCTCTCTGTCACTCTGTAACTCTGTCTCTCTGTCTCTGTATCTGTCTGTCTCTGTCTGTCTGTCTTTCTCTCTTTCTTTTGTTGTTGTTGTTTTCCTGTATCTCATTCCAGCGTTTATTGTATGTCTCAACACGTTTCTCTTTCTTTAGAAGAAAGTTTTGCCTTGTCTCTTTACATGTGTGTTTTTGTTGTTTATTACTGATTGTTAAACTTTTTCCTTTTCATTATATATATATTTTTCTCTCTATTTCTTTTTTCGATATGGAGAGCGAGGAATATTTGTGTTTCTCCGTACTTCCCATGGATAATTTTATTCAACACGACGTACATGAACACAGGGATGTATGCAGAAATATGTACACACTCACTCACTCACACACACACACACACACACACACACACACACACACACACACACACACACACACACACACACACACACACACACACACACACACACACACACACACACACACACACACACACACACACACACACACACACACACACACACACACACACACACACACACACATACTTACGCACGCAAACACACTTACGCACATACAAACACACACACAAACTCAAACACACACACACATACAAGCACACACACATACAGGCACGCACACACACACAAATACACACACAAACTGAAACACACACGCACACGCACACAAACTCAAACACACACACACACGTGAGGTTACGCACGCACGCGCTCAAATGCGGTTTGTGATCTGATAAGATTGGGAGGGGGGGTTAACCTTGAGGGGGGGGGAAGTGACAAATGATCGATATGCTTGCCTCTGCTTGTATCTTTTTGTTTCTTTTCCTGTTACTGGTTTTAACTGTTCTTATTCTGTTATTCTTTTGTCTTTTCTTATTTTCCTCTTTCTCTTTCCGATAGTATTTTCCTAACCTTGCAAAATTCTGTATTTTTTCGGATTGAGATGATCATTTCTGTTTGTCTGTCTGTCTGTCTGTTCCTCTCTCTCTCTCTCTTTGTGTGTATGTGTGTGTGTGTGTGCGTGTGTGCGTGTGTGTGTATGTGTATCTTTGTCTCGCACTCTCCCTCTCTCTCTCTCTCTATCTGTCTATCTATCTATCTATCTATCTATCTATCTATATATATATATATATATTGTAAGTGTGTGCATTATTTGTTTTCCATTGTTATTCATTTATGTTTTTATATTCCTTTTTCCCTTTCAGTTCATTCCGTCATTGTATTTTTCGGATTGTAGATTATATCTCTCTCTCTATTTCTGTCTCTGTTTCTGTGTGTGTGTGTCTGTCTCTGTTTATCTGTCTTTCTCTTTCTCTCTGTTTTTTTTTCTCTCTCTCTTTCTCGTTCTCTTGCCTTCTCTCTCTCTCTTTTGCTCTCTCGCCTTCTCTCTCTTTCGTTTGCTCTCTCGCCTTTTCTCTCTCTCTTTTGCTCTCTCGCCTTCTCTCTCTCTCTTTTGCTCTCTCGCCTTCTCTCTCTCTCTCTCTCTCTCTCTCTCTCTCTCTCTCTCTCTCTCTCTCTCTCTCTCTCTCTCTCTCTCTCTCTCTCCCTCTCACTTTTTCCTGTAATAGACCTATACTGGTTTGGCCTTAATTTGCTAAGCATTCTACACATCTCTGTAGACATATATTCCATGTATTGTGTATAAATCTAATTTTAAAGTCAAAGTTTATTTTGATTAAGCAAAATACTCAATGCAGGTTCAAGAGACGGCTCTTCGTGGATAAACCAAGTGGAATGTGATATCCATAATCCCAGTGATAATTTTTTTTCTCGACATTTCTTGCATTTTTGATAAATACTTTAAAGTTTCTGTTTAAATATTCCCGACGAAAAAATTATCCTGCATTCGAAATACACGAGAGTATCTGTCATCTTGTCCCCATTTAACCGAATTTTCTGCGAAAACCAAAGAAGCGAAATTGGTTGGTTGAAATTCCATCCCATTTTCCGCATCCCCACCCCCATATAATACCACCTAAAAAAAAAAAAATCCTATATTCCTATTCCCGACGAGGAATGAGACACCCCATTCGAAATAAGAGACAGCATCTAGCACCCTGCCCCTATTTAATGTAAAATCTCCGGCTCGAGGCTCCAGTTGCGCTCCTCGGCCGTCGCCTGTCGGGAGGGGCGTGCGGGGTTGCTTATTGCCCGACGACACCAACGCCCTCGACGGATCTTCTCTTTTTAAGGGAAATTCACCCCACTGTTGGCGTCCTTTTAGCCACCATCGGCGTCCTTTAACCCACGATTGGCGTCCCTTACCCTCGACCGGCGCCCTCTTTTTTTTTTTTACTTTTGGCTGGAGCGGGTGAAGAAAAAACGATGGCGACTTTACTTCATCTGAAAGATTTTTGGAGGAAGATTCGCGAGCTGTACACGACGGTTGTGGGATTTATGAGGTGAAGGGGAGTTTTTTTGTGAAAAGACTTTTGTGAAACAAGGTTTTGTGGAGGGCAGGTTTGTGGAGGGAAATCTTGTGGAGGGAAGTCTTGTGGAGGGCAATTCTGGGCGTGCCGGGGGTGTGCTCGTTCAAGGTTTGATGCCCTCAATTCCTATCAATCCTGATTTGCCGATCGTGTTGTAGTGTTATATAAGAGTTATTCAAAAGTTATTCAGTTTTTCTCTGGACTTTACGTTTGTTTTTTTTTCCAAATGCGGCTTGGGTCCCGTTATGAGGGGATTCCCAACCTAAACGAAGAATCATTCGCAGTATCTCTGTATCTTATATGCAAATCTTAATCCCATGATAAGTCAAGAAACCAACTAACCCTCCCAATTCGGCTAATTATACTAGAAACGAAGTTAAAGCCCAAAAGACAAGCCTACTGGGGCCTCGCCTCACGCAACGGGCCCTTCAGCTGTCCCACGTGCGCGCCGGCACCAGCTACGCCTTTTTCCCAACCATTTTAACATCACCAAAAAAACAACACCAAATGAACAAATACCCACGCGACACACCCGCACACGTATCCGCAACCTTCCCCTTAGCGTAGAAAGCGTAATTGTGAGAGAGAGAAAAAAACCGACCACGAGATAATACGAAGGTTGGAAATAGAAACAAAAACACTCGCCGGCAACCGCACGCCGTCAGGAGAGCAGACGACAACAACAAAGTGTGGTAGAGTGTGGTCGGGTCTACCACAGGGAAGGCGGTGGATGGTGGCCGGTGCTTTTTAATTTTTTTTTTATTAGTATAGAACGAGGATGACGATCATAGGAAGAGCCAGGTGCGTGGGCGTGGGCGTGTGCCGTTGAGAGAGAAGGAGGGATATATGTGTGAGGAGTGGCTTTTAGTGAACAGGATGCGTTCAAGTGACGTGATAAGATTAATGTTATGTGTATGTGTGTGTGTGTGTGTTGGTATGTGTAATGTGTTCTTTTTTAACCCCCGTCTCGCCGTGCGCGTGTGGGCACTAGTAATGAATGAAGGCGTTATTGTGACTGTAAAGTGTGTAGCGTTGCGTTGATTTTGTCTTGATTGGTATGGATTTTCGTTCCTTTTTTCGAGAGTGGGAAAACTTATGTAATGCTTTGGTTATTTATAACTTTGGGCTTGTTTGATGGTGTGTTTTATCAAGATCAAAGAGCATAGTAACAAAGCCATAAATTTTAAAGGGAAGGGTTCAAGGGAAATGAAGCTTTGGAAAATTTTCAAAAGTATTATAGATGTTAAACATGAACTTAGACTCAAAATTGTCATAAATAATCATTTGATTTTAATTATTGCATATTAGAAATGGATCTTTCTATTAGAGTACATTTTGGTATATTTTTCTTTTTCACTGGAATTGCCATAGGCTGTGCTTTAAATGTTTTACAACTTGATAATTCTCTACACCACAGACACTCTCAAGAGACTAAGTCCCCAACTCCACTCTAAAAACTTTATTCAACAATTTAAATTGCTTTGACTGGGTATGCCCTTCAGGCACTGCCCGAGGGGAGGGAGGGTTGATAGGAGGGTTTTGATCCCCCATGCCCCCAGGCAAACATTGTCTTCACCTTGGTATGCATGGCAAGACACAGCTGAAACTTGGTAGCACCAAGTAGATTTAGGATGTGAGAGGTGCTCTCTGTAATGTTTTTCTTTTAATTGTGGTATTATGTTTATGTTTATAGATTATTTCTTGTACCAGTGACCATGAGCTTTTGTCCTCTCGAAGAATTCTGTCCATTACAGACAAAGTTACCTTATACTGCATGGCTGGTGAAACTCAAACTTTATTGTATGTTTATATTATTCTTACATTCTACACCTGTAATTAATTTTCTTATTTATCTATATAACTAATGCAT